CAAAGATGTGGCATAAGTCCATTTTACTATGAATCTTAAAACTAGTTGTAATACCTCTGTAGTGTCAAACAATGAATTTTAAAATGAATTCCTCAGAATGTAGTTAAGCAGAAAAAAAACCACCCAACCCAAAAAACAGTGTATAAGAAAGCAAAGGTTCCTGGTGGATGGAGGATCTTCAGCTTTGAAATGTTATATATATATATACATATATATGTTCTGTGCAGACTTAAAGACTTCTAACAGACCTGAGATTTAAGGTAATGCTCAATGATCAGAATGTATAATTTCAAAGTTATCTTGCTATAACTGGCATTTAAATCGTGCTCTAATTTCATAAGAGCAATTTTACAAGTCAATCTTTGCATAAGTAAGCCTGTTTGTACATCTTAATTCTGAACTCCATCATTGTCTAGTCTAGAGACTAAATTAATTGTACAACTATGAAAATGACTCTATTTGGTAGTCTGGGTTTGTTTTCAGATTTGCTTATAGCAATCTCAAAATTGTAGACTAATTTGGGATGGAAAGGACCTTAAAAGGTTATCTAGTACAGGCTTCCTTGCAGTGAGCAGGGACATCTTCAACTAGATCAGGTTGCTCAGAGTCTTGTTGAACCTTACTAATACTTCTGTTCTTTTTAGGATGTTAATTACCAGCAGTGCTATAAACGAGGTGGGATAACTAGTGGTCCTCGAGCAAATTCAAGAGGTAAGGCTGACATCAGGTTCCCAGCGGTACCCGTGTGTGCTTTGGTGTAGTGATGCTGAAGTGCAATGTTATTGTGATAGTGAGGAAAAGTGTGCTATCACTGGTCAAACAGCTCAAGCTTGGTATAAATTAACTAGATAAATGAAACCTTAAGTACTGTTCTTAGTCAGCATTGCACAGCAGCAGATTTAATTTCACCTCAATTTGGTGTCTTCATATGTGGAAGTTCTGACACAATATACCTTACCAAACTTTCTTTGCAAGTGAACTGACCAGGAGATAGAGGTGGTTCCCATGTTGCATTTGGCTTCAGCCCTTAATTATATGGTCTCACCTGATTCTGGGTGAGCAATCGATTCCCAGAGACTTTGTAAGATAACTTTTTCTGTAAAAAATAGTTTCTTTGGGAATACAGGTTTACTCTCTATTTCTGTGCTGGAGTACAACAACCTAAAGAAATATGTAAGACTAGCTGTTTCAATCCAAGCATTAACAGCATGTATTTTGAAAAGCTGTAAACAAGCTGACTTAATCCTAGCTGGACTTGGCAGTGCTATAGGTGAAAAGCAAAGTGAATTGTAACTATAGATCACTACTTTGATAAAGGGAAATTATGGCATATCATGGAAACCGATTTAGGATAAAGCAGGCCATCTCAGTCAGGGACAACTTGAAGAACGTACTTCAGAAGAGAATTAAAAGAAATAAGAGATCAGTAGCAACTTTGTTTCATTTGATATCTTGTTCCTTTCTAGTGGGAACAACAGTGGCTTGAAACTTTGTGTGGCTGCTTTAAGTTTCTCAGCTCTATTAATGTTTTCATTCTAAACCCTTTTAACTTGGATATTTGAAAAGATAACAGCTTCATTTTGGGGAGTGGAGTACAGAAAGCTTAAAAGCAATTCTAGTTATTCAAACTTAAAATATTCTAGCATCATAAGTTGATATGACCTACTAAGAATGCAGCTCTAGAAAAACAGTACTGAGGTAACTTGAAGTGCTAATTCAGGTCTTGAAGGTCTTAAATGACTACTTGGCTCTTGGTAATCCTGCCAATTTTTGCAGAAGTTATAATTTATCTCCATCCAGAAGCTAGCATATGCTTCTTTTTAATGGTAATATATGTATGTGGCAAAGTTAAAAACTGTTCAAAGCTGGTGGCCTCTCCTGCTTAAAAGTATGGAATGTCATTGTTCCCAGTTAAATTATGGTCCATCCTGTGAATGCTGCCAGTGTAATGAGTCTAATCCAGTTTCAGAGTTCTGTTCTCACTGGGGTCCTCTGACAATTCCTGCAGCTGACAGACAAATACTGTTGCAAAGCCAATACAATTCCTGCTTAAAAATATGCCCGCAGGTTTAAGGGTTTCCTTCTGTTGTACTACTTATTCATCATTGCTAATGATCTCTAACAGCAGGGTGGAGTGATTCCTCTCAGGTGAGCAGCCCAGAACGAGACAACGAAACCTTTAACAGTGGGGACTCTGGCCAGGGAGACTCCCGCAGCATCACCCCTGTTGACATGCCAGTGACAAGCCAAGCTGCCACCATACTCCCAGTGCACGTCTACCCCCTCCCCCAGCAGATGAGAGTTGCCTTCTCTGCTGCTAGAACATCTAACTTGGCCCCCGGAACTCTAGACCAGCCAATTGTGTTTGATCTGTTGCTGAACAACCTTGGAGAAACTTTTGATATCCAGCTTGGTAGGTTCAACTGTCCAGTGAATGGTACATACGTTTTCATCTTCCACATGCTGAAACTGGCTGTAAACGTCCCCCTGTACGTGAATCTTATGAAGAATGAAGAGGTCCTAGTGTCAGCCTACGCCAACGACGGGGCTCCTGATCATGAAACAGCCAGTAATCATGCGGTCCTGCAGCTGTTCCAGGGAGATCAGATCTGGTTGCGTCTGCATCGGGGAGCCATCTATGGAAGCAGCTGGAAATACTCCACCTTCTCGGGATACCTCCTTTATCAGGACTAAAATCCAGTGTGATGTTTACAAAAGAGCTGCTCCAAACACCTTGGTGGAGGGGGGTGGGACTAGCTTTGCACTTAACTACTGACTTTATAGAAGGTATGTGGTTCCATTATTGGGGGAGATGATGGTCCTGTTGTGCAAGGTGAAATCATGGAGTTGGGGTACTGAATCAGCACTAATTTGGCACTTTATCAGTTGTGATGTAGCCTTGCTAATAAAGCTGTGAATGTATATTGTTTGCACTTACCCTAAACTGTGTTAATGTCCAGCTTACTACACTATTGATTGCCTCAAGTATGGGCTATTCACAATGCCTTGTTGTGCCTCAATAAAACAAGTTAATATGCATTTTAGTATTAATCTTGCCAGTAGTCTTTATTTTTAAAACATATCAAACTGAGCTTTATTGCTGATGTGGGGTGTACATGCATGTTATTACATAGAACTGGTCTTCAAATTTCAATAATTCAGGGTAAACTGTACAGTTTAAATGGGATGACTTGTTCAGTTCTTGTTTGATGGCATTCTCAAAAGTGTTCACTTGGTCAAAATTAATTCAAGATTCAGTTGCTTTTTAACTGAAAGCTCAAGAAATCAAAAGTGAAATGCTGAATACGTAATTAGGACTACTTATTTTTAATGCATATCCTGTCAAAAATCACTGTTGCTGAAGGAGTGATGCACTTATAAGACATTTAACTAACAAAGTTTGATACATGTGGTTTAGCAAGGCTTGATGGCAAGGTACGCTTGGTTATTTACTGCAGAGAGAGCAGTCAGACAGAACTGTCAGGGGGACCCTCCTGTTGAGTAATAAGGTTCAGAGAGGACCTCCTTGCTTTCCAAACTCCTCTGAGGAGTTGTCTAGGTGGAGCAGGAGAGCTCAAAGGGCTCTTGGACTGTTTGCTATTTCTGGGGCTGGGGTGATTGACTTATAGTCATATTTGCATACTGAGCTCAGATGTTAGTTTTTTCCAAATCTGGCTTGAGTAGCAGTACCATGGTTAGGTGGGCGCATTGGTCAAGTTAGCCCTTGGTTATTGAGTTACCTCCCTTTCCCCAAATCCTCTTTGGGCCAGATGCAGCCATCACAACCACAAGCGTCCATTAGGACTTCTACTGGTGGTTATTGCTCCAGCAGGGTGATGGGAACTGACCAAGGTCAGGTTGGTGGTGGAAGCACACCATTACAGTCGCATCGACTTTCCTTCAGTAGTGATGTACTTGTTTGAGAGAAGTTCTACTCAGTCACTGGAGGGCTTGCTGATGCTGTTTGTCACGCAGATCTCATTCAGCTGTAATACATCTTGAAGTTAAAACCTGACCCTTGTGAAGTGCAAGCTAAAGGGCTGTGAGACTGGTCTTCAGCTATCTCTTGTGGCCTGAGAACTGAAGAACTTTGGATGTCCTTGTCCAAGCTGTAGCATTCCAAATATTACGCAGTGTTTCAATGTTTAAAATGAAAGTCTGAACTAGGAAGAAGACTGTAGGTCACTGGCTCTTCCTACATTCTATCTTTGATAGGTGGATTTGGTTTTTTTAGCAGTAGGAAGCATTTTATGAGTGTACTAAGGTAGCTTGTGGAAGAGTCTGACCGGTACATCTAAAGATGAACTAGAAGCAGGCAGGATAAAATCAAATGAGCCAACTGCTTATTGAAATGAAAGTAAAAATCTAAATGGAATATACTTCAGACTAGATATAAAGCTGCTGTTTCTTGGTAACTGGTTTTTCAGAACTTCCAACTTTAAACAGTTCTCCCCTGCTACCACACAGATGCCAAAACAAGCTGTCTGGCATGACTGCATAAAGCTACTGGCATAAAGAGTATGGTTCAGTCCAAGCTCAGGTTTCTTTTTCACACAGATTTTAGAGGACGATTATATTTTAAGTCTTGGTTTAATTCTTTTGGCAAGTTCTGAAATGAGAAGTTTGGGATAAAGCTTTAGGAAACCTAGTTTTTTACCACTATGGACAAAAATATCAAGCCTTAACCATTGACTACTTAGCCTGTATTTTGTGGTTTGTATTGGCAAAGGTGAGAATCGGTGTTCTCACTTTGAGGCTTATTTCCAGAACACTCCCAGTGGAGGCCGATGGCAAGAGTTTAACTAGCACGTCTTTTCAAACTGTTAACTCTCCTTGGGTATAAATAATGGAATATGGTAGATAGGCCTAAATGCTAGTATAATATTCAGCTTGCAATAGCTTTGCAGCTGTGGAAAAAACAATTTCATTGCTTTTTGAACAGACCCGTGTGAGAAACACACTCACTGTATGGAATTTTAGTCAGGTACAAATTCTGTGGAGCAAAGAACATTTATTTACAGCGCTGGGAGCCACACAGGGGATTTCTCCTCCTGTGCCTTAACTCTTTTCTTACATATGCTTGCTTTGCTTGCTGTACATTTCCCGACTGCACAGCAAGCACATACATATTTTAGCTGAAGCACAATTTTCCTCCTAAATTACTTATTGCAATTCCCCCCTTTTTCTTTTCCTTATCTAATTTTGCTGAAGTGCTTTATATTTGTCTTCTATTTTAGCAAGAATTTGAGTGGCCTCGTCGAGGTTTTCACAGAACCCTTTCATGGTATTCTCTGTATTATCTCAATAATTCAAGATGTCTTTTATTCCTGAGAATGGATTCATACCCTCTTTCTTACACCTAAAAAGGTAATTGTTTTTTACCTGGGTACAATTCTTGGTTTCATTTTGAAATGTTAGATATGACCTTGGTTTCAGAGGAAACCAAGTTCGAGTAGAATTTGCATCTACTTTTAAGCCATAGTGACGTGGTGTGTCTCCCATTCCATCTGTAAAGTTCCCTGTGTCCCAGGTCAAACAAACTTTTCCAATTACTGTGGAACTTAACATTCACCCATCAGGTCTCCTTTTTCCTCTCATGGTGAGCGTATCATTCCATTCCAGGATTTCAAAAGGACTTAAACTTGTGCCTCTCCATGGCCACTCTTCAGTCATTAAAGGTCCCCCACAGACGCAGCAATCAGTCACATTCAATTCTTTAGCTATTTCTGTTGCTAGATTTAAAAACAAGTTCTGCTCAAGAGTGGGGAATCCCAACTCTTTTTGCCTTATGGTATATACTCTTGGTTTATATTTTTAATTCTTTTTCTTTCTGTTTTATAACCTTTGTCACATCAAGCTGGTCTACATTAATTCTCGGTGGGTTCTACAACGATAATATCTGATCCATTTACACTTATCTATTGGGGTTTTATACCCACATTGGATACACCAAAGATCAAGGTCTTGGGAGAGGTACTGCTCCTGTTTGCCATGGGGACCTAGATTACTAACATTGTTACACTTAAGCCACATATATATGCAACAATTAAGATAGCAGCAGAGTCGAGGAGTTTTGCTGCCTTAGTCTGAAGGTGCTTCTGGGGCTTTCGCTGGCTGTTGCTCCCAAAAAGCAGCATCGAATCTTACGCATCTTCTGAGAACTCTTTGGAACCTTCACCTGTCAAGACCAGAACATGAGACTTCTTCCTCGTGGTTAATTTCAAGGGGTCTTTGTGTGTCTCTACCACCCAATCCTCGGGTGGTGTTACTGGTCCTTTTACCCGTGTTATGTGGGCACACCCTTTGTCTTTTGTTCGAATCGCTGTTTTGGTGGTTAGCAGCACCTGGAAGGCTCCTGCCCAGGTAGGTCTTCAAGTTTCTTTTTTCCATGGTTTTATTAATACCTAATCTCTTATTTGGATATTGTGTATTTTAAAGTCTAATGGAGTGGTTTGTGGGAGTCTCCCTTTCTCTCAGAGTTGCTCTAATGTCTTTACAATGGTCAAAACGTACTTGTGACCATAAGACTCTCCTTGTTCCGTGACTAGAATCCTTTCCCTATTGCCCATGTAGGGGAGTCCAAACATTATTTCATCTGGAGAGATCCCCAGGTCCCTTTCCCATATTCTCATTCCTGCTACCCGAATCATTTGTTTTTCCTCAGGGATAAACAGAGTCCCCATGAGGGATTGCATTTCTTCCCAGTTATATACATTCGGACCCAAGAATTGGTCTAATTGTTCTGACAAACCTAGGGGATCTTCCAAAAATGTCTTTGTCTCTTTCTTAAAGTTCCTTGTACTTCTGTGTTGGTGAGGGGCACATTCACAAATCCTAATCCATTTTGAGCCCTTGGCATTGGAACCTCCTGTAAAAAAACACAGACCGACTGATCCCGTCATCTCCTCATTTTCTTCCACTATGGAACTTCCAACTTCTCGTCTCTTCTTCTCCTCCTAACGCGGGTCTGAGGCTCTCCCGCGCCTTCAGGAAGGTCTGAATTATACAGGGAAGGTAGACATTCAAGAGGGTCCCAAACTGGTCCTTTATCCTCCTCCTCCTTCCCTTTTTACACTCCTAATTTAAAAATTCCTACATCCCCCTTCCAACACCCTGCATATTCACTCTCTTCCTGATCGAACGGTTCTTCAGAATTTATGTATAGATTTAATACTCAGCACACCCATCCCTCCATAGACCCCTCCCTTGGCCAGTACAACTTGTCCAGCCTTATGGAATCTTTGCTCTATTCAAACACACAATAATTGATCATCTTTGCTTCGTCCTTACCTCAGACACAGGATTCTCCTTCCTGCCCCCATTGTAACAACATCCTCCCTAATGGACTGTCTGGAGGTATTTCTGGAATTCCTTTATTGGCCTTTCCCTTTTTTTTTTTTTTTTTTTTTACTTTTCCCTTGTCCCATTTTCCCCAGGGGATCTCTCAACTCCAGCCTCTTGATTCATCTCTTCACCGTCCGGTCTCCTCATGGAGATACAGAACCGTGGTTAGAAAGGCTCTGCACTCTCTTCACAGATCTGGTCCGTGTCTCTCTCTCACCACTCTCAACCCCCCATCACCCAGCCACACAAGCAATACTTAACAGTCAATTTTCTTACCTGGGTCTTGTGCACAATGATTATTGGCTGCTGCTGTTATCCCTGGGACCCCTCTTTGGTCCACACTGGGCCATCACCACCGGTCTGTCACCGTGGACAGGCAGAATCCAAGGATTGCTGCAATCAGCAATGGTGTGCCATCCTGTCCCGGCTTACTCACCCGTCTGAGGCTCTGGACGTAGGTCAGAGATCCCAGACGAGCCTCCAGATTGTGAGAAACGCGCTCACTGTATTGAATTTTAGTCAGGGACGAATCCTGTGGAGCAAAGAATATTTATTTACAGCGCTGGGAGTCACGCAGGGGATTTCTCCTCCTGTGGCTTAACTCTTTTCTTTACATAAGCTTGCTTTTATCCCCTCTTATTCATGCATATTCATGGATTTTACCCTAAAATGATTTACATAATCAATGAGTTTCCAGAACGCAATCCACCCCTTAACATGCCCCTGTTTGTGACTCTTGTGGTTACCTTAGCTAATCCCCCTCCCCTCTCCCCTTGCAACAGTTCAGTACTTTCTGCCTTTACTTCCTTCTGGTATTTTCCCATTACCTGACGCTATACATTTCCTGACTACACATACATATTTTAGCTGAAGCAAAATTTTCCTCCTAAATTACTTATTACACTCGTGACTCCAGATTGTGCATTTTTTTTGTGTGGTTTTTTTTTCCATCTAGAAGTGACCCAGTCACTCTCTCATGCTGTCTGCGTAGGGACTGGTAAATAGATGAGCTCTATTCCGTGTAGGGCAGCAGGGTATCCCTTGTGCTTCAGGCTGCCCTAAAGCAGGCTTCTTCAGTTAGTACGCAGCTTATCCTACTTGGATTTATTATATTTACTGGTTTTCTTAGTTTTAAGAACAAGTTACCAGTGCCTCTAAGCATTGCTAGTAAGCTTGGCCTTTGGCAACCTCAGCCATGGGATCGCTGGGAAGCACAGGTCGCTTTCTAAGGCTCCAGTTCAATCAAGTCTGGGCAACTGCTTGGTGGGCCCATTTGTTTAGACTTATTTCTTACTGGTAGACCTAGCAAAGCTTTTATGTATCTCTAGCTTGCATACGTTTAAGGTATCTGAGGTAAGCATCTTGGTTTCAGAGCTGGTTGTCCATCTGTATGAGATGGATTTTTAAATGCCATCCCCTAAAGGAGTGCACGCTGTCACAGCAAGAAGTGTGAAGACAGGATGAAACATGAATTCTAATCATTATACCATTTGTTGATAGTAAACTCGGCTGTAAATCATACAATGGATGGCTTCAAAACGTTTCATACTTTTTTAAGCTTTATCAGCCTTAATTGGAATCATCTCTACTGAACCAGCTACTTTAAAATGTCTGGTTTTCCTCTGATAGTTTTTATTTTAAAAATATACAACTTGGACAATTGTCTTCCATACAGTAACTGAATGTATGACCAATTTTACCCAATAGTGTTCTTATGTAGTACCTCCTGAGCTAGAACTGTTGGCTTTCACCGTGTTTCTCGTTCGAGCCCTGGTCAGAGCTCCAGCCTGACCTCTGTTACAAGAAGGAATACAAGTGTAACTGAACAGGTACTGTCACAAAGTTTTCAAACTTCAAAAGGTTAGTACTGAACCTTCAGTGTTAAGGCCAAGGCACAGTTGGAGCTGAACGTGGCAAGGGACACAGAGAATATTAAGAAGAGCTTCTACAAGTACGTCAGCTGGAAAAGCGAAGGTCAAAGAAAGCACATTCTCCCTGATAAGCAAGACTAGAAAACTGGTAACAACAGACGAGGAGAAGACTGAGGTACTCAAATTTTTTTGCCTTGGTCTTCACTGGTGACCTGTCTTCCCACACCTCTCAAGTGGATGGATTGCAAGGTGGAAAACTGGTAACAACAGACGAGGAGAAGACTGAGGTACTCAAATTTTTTTGCCTTGGTCTTCACTGGTGACCTGTCTTCCCACACCTCTCAAGTGGATGGATTGCAAGGTGGGGACTGGGGGAGAAAAGTCTCTCCCACTTTAAAAGATTGGATTTGTGACCACCTGAGGAACCCGAACATACAGAAGTCAATACTCCACAACTAAATCACTTCTGGCATATTTCCAAGGGAATAAGCATCCCTGAACTGGGCGTTACTTGACTTAGACACTTCCTGCCATTGCCTCACTGACGGCTGCGTGCACAAAAAGTGAGTCTTAAAAGTAACACCTTAGGTGCAAAATCTTTTCCACTTTTTTTTGTAGTGAATGCTTTGTGTTAATAGGGCTGTTTTAAATACAATATTTAGTGCAATAACATTCCGATAAAAAACATTTTAGAAAGATGTTAAAATAGCCTTTAAGCATATTGTGTTATTGATATGTTTCACATCACCAGCTTCACACGACTCAAGTCCTTCAGTGAATCAATTTCATAACTTTTATGTTCTTGTACCATAGAGAAAAGAAATGGAATAAAACAGAACTGCTTTTAACTGTCCATAACATTCCAATTTTGGAAAAAGGAAGCAGAGATAAAATCCTTTGAAGTCATTTTCTTGTAGTATGACACATGACTCAAGATCTTTAAAATGGGCAGTTTTCACTGGACTAGTCTTATTTACTATCTTAGCTAAAATGGCAAAATTATAAATTACCACAGTTAACAATATATGCTTTTTACACTCACATTGGTGTTTGTTTTATATATTTTGTAATTACTGGACATACTCTCTCCTGCTTCTAAGAAGAAATGAAAAGATGAATCAAAGTACCTACAATTTCTCACTAGATGCTGCAGAGCTGCATTACTGGAGAACAGAAGGACAACTCTTGAGTGACAACGATCCCAAAGCGATAAAAGCCACAGAGCGCGCCATCTCCGAATGCTAGGCAGGTGTAATTCATTTTTACAGCTAGATTCTTCTTTTATTCTGGGCAAACCTACTAAGAGACAATATTTTTGTATAAAATCATTCTAGTATTAGACGTTTTAACGTTTTCCTTGTAAGCAATTTAGGAACTGAAGTTATTTAGCAGCAGCAAAGATGTTGTGGCAAGAATTAGCATATATTCCCCTCAGCAAGAGAAGGGTAACCCTGCCATAAACGTCACTCCTGTGCATTCACCATTGTCACGAGGAATATTCTTCCCTACAGGTCAGGTAATATAAGTTGACAGAAGTACTGCTGTTTTCCTAATTAGAGGGCCAGTAATTAGAAATGACATCTTATACCGTAATTACAATGAACAAATGAAATACAGTCCTATTGTGTTCTTAAGGTATCTATATATAAACAGTACGATTTTGTAAATGCCCGTGGGTTTGACTCCTCCAGAACACAGCAAATAGTCTTTCTGTTATTTCTACCAGTGAATAACATGTCTCTGGTTTGTAAATGCTATGGAAAACATCACCTGCAGAAGTAACCAAAGGATTTGGCTCACAAAGATTGTATTTGACATGAGGTTTTTCTGGCATGCTGTTGGCCTGTGAACGGCACCTTTGGTAATTATCTTATCCCTGCGTGGTGGTTGTCCCGGTTTGAGCAACACAGGACTAATACATCTCCTAATGCTTGGGAAAACTGCACTTTTAGAAGAGTCTAGTGTCTGAATTTGTGAAAATATTTACTTTATAGCCAGCCAGGCTATGGGGGTTTCAAGGTCTCGGTGTTTTCGAGCTCACCAGGTGCAGGGATGAGGAGGAGTGAGACCCAGGCACTCGACCCAGGCTGGCCAACAGGATTGTTTCATACCATGAACGTCACGTTCAATATAAATTAGAAAGTTTGCTGCATAGTGTCCTCTTTCTTTCCCTTGATGGCGGCATCCCAGAGACCTTCTTGCCCCAGTGCTGGACCCCTGAGCCCTTTCCTTCCTCCTGAAGCCGTAGCATTTGCAGTGTCGGACATTTGCTGAGTATAATCCTTGTGTATTTTATATTGGTATCGGGATCAATATTGTTTCTTTAGTATTATTAATTATTTAGTCTCATCCTATTAAATCTATTTATATTCCAGCCCTTGTGTTTCCTTGCTTTTTCCCTGATTCCCCTTTCCAGGTTGGGAGGGGTCATCGGGTGATAAAATAATTGTCTACATGACAATAAATTGTTGTGGGTTTCTCAAACCATAACAGAAGCTTAAATCTTCCTTTGGTTTGCCTGCACGTTCTAGGATTTAAAGGGAGAAACTGGACAGAGGTGGAGAATCATAGTGTGGTAAACGCTTGCAGTTAGAAGTGGTATTTGTATATTCCTGACAACCTGAGCCGTAACTACCTTCAATACACTCTCACATGCAAACACCGCTAAGATAAGGAAACCATTTTCAGGGTCTATATAATGATGAGAGCAAGTATCAGAAGCATGGCAGGGATCACGACGTGTGCCCCAACTGCACGTTTTAGGCAGTTGCTTGCAGCAAACTTCTTTTCCTGCATGTTGCGAGCCTGTCTCGTGCAGCAGCACATACCTTGGGCACCTGGATAACCACGGTAATAACGCTGCTTCTCCACCATGGAATTGGCCTCATCAGCATTCAGTCTCGGCCCTTGTTTTTTTGTTTCCTTCAAGGCAAAGACAGACGGCCCAGGGGGTCCCGGAGCAGCCCGTGGGTCGGGCAACCTGTAGGCCCGGTGCACCTCAGCCGCCGTCGCTGCCAGGTACCAGCAGAGGCCACCGAGGAGCGCTGGAAGGCGGCACCTCGACACCCGAGGCAGGAGCAGCCCCAAGCGGTGGGCCCCTGCCTCCCCCGGCCTGCCCGACCACTCGCCGCCCGGGCCCGGGCCCGCTCCCCGCCTGAGCCCCGTGAGGCCGGGCCCTCCGCCCCCTCCATCGCCACGACAGCGGCGGTTTGTTGTCCGTCCGATCTCCCGTCGGTGTCTCCAGGGATGGAGAACGGGGGATGCGGCCCTAGATGCGGAGGCTACAGCGGAGGAGCGCCCAGGCCCCACAGCCACCGCAGGGACAGCGGCCTCACATCCCCCGGCGACTCTCTCCCTCAGGGACAGGGGCGCGGCCGGCTCCACAGCTCACGTTCCGTATCGCGACATGGCCGCCCCCACGGGAGCTCCGGCCCGGAAACGGCTCCCTGACCTCGCCCACCGGCAGTGCGATCCCGCCTGACTTTTCTCTCCGTACAACAAAATGGCGCCCGCCTCTTTCCGACCTCTGCTGGCCGTAAAGCATTGCCCCGCTTCCCGATACCCAGCTGTCGCAAACCGGTGAATGGCTCCGGAGAGGATCCTCTTCCTCCTCCTCCTCCTCCTCCTGCAGCCCCCGGGGGAGCGCTGCCCGCCGGCGCGGGGAGGGGGAAGATGGACCCCAACAGGATCATCCAGGCCTTGAGGGGCACCATCGACCCCAACCTGCG